TTCCCCTTTCCCTTCCCAACCCCACTGGCACCCCCACGGCACAGGGGGTTTACAGACATCCCTGTAACTCCCAGTGGGTTTGTCCCTGTCCCCAGGAACCTGCCCTGTGCCAACCCCTGGGCTCGTCTGCACCAGTTCTGGTGGGGATTGCCAGTGCTTGGCTTGGCAGGGCAACACCTCCCCACAAGCTCTGGCCATGCCAACATGTGCACACTCAGCCCTTCCACCAGGCCCAGCCCTTCCCACAGCCATCAGAAATGTCTTCTGGATGCCTTGAATCCAAGGGATCTCTGTGCCTTGCACCAGATATTGACAATGTCTGATGGATAAATCCATCTGAAATACATTCCCTGTATTGTACATGGACCTGTGAGCCCCTTGAGTGAAGACATCTCCATCCCCCTGTGTCCAAAGGAAGCTGTGTGTCCATAAACCAGGTGATCCAACTGCAGGTGTGCTCTTCTCTGTGCCCACAGCTGCTTTTCTTCTTTTAATAAAAGATTTGGTAATAAAAGATTTGGTTGTTGGGAACCCTTACTGCCGGGCCGTGTCTTATTATATTCCATTCATAAGTCACAAGTGGGGCCCTGGAACAGGGACCAAGGACTTGCCCTGTACCAGGGAAGAACACAGCAGCATTTGGACTTAGCTTGTTCTAAAGCTGGGGAAAGTTCTCTGAAGAAAAAAAATCAGAGGTGGAGAGAGCAGTGCTGAAAGCGGATGGGGACGTCGCTCGGCAGGACTGAGCTGGGAACTAAAAAAAAGGTGAAGTTACACCCACAAAGGGACACCAAGGAAGAAAAAGCCGCAGTGAGCTCAAGGTAAAAAGCCAACACGGAAAAAACGAGTGCACAGGAAATAGACAGAGATGTAAAAGCTTTGTGTTATAAGTTACTTCTTTCCTTGAATTTTGAAGATGGCAAAAATACCTGCAGAACAAAGAAATATAGCAAGAGATTTTTATTGCAGTGCTGGTAACCCATTTCCAGCACTGGGTGCACCTCTGGATCATACAAAAAGCACACTCTTGTTTGAAAATCACACTTTTTTTGTACCCTTTGATATCAGTTGTTGAATATTCATTCATTGTCCGTTTGTTGCCTTAAAAGGTAATTTTCCTGCTTTGGAGGTGGGTGTTACCTTTTGGCTGGTTGTAACTTATCTCCCCTGGGCTCGTACAGGGGGATCTTGCATCATCCCCACACTGCAAGGCATGGAGGGCCTCTCTTTGTATCCACATGGCACAGAGGAATACATTTTTATTTATAATTTGTTCCCTGTTCCCAGCCGCAAAAGATTCCCTGGTGTTAGGTCCAGACAGGACCCTTCACCTTACAGACTCCACGGTACGCCTAGAAGTTAGCAAATATACAGAAATAGTACCCCCTTTTTATTTTAATTTGCTTGGAATAAAACCGGTGCCTTTACTTATCACAATCCCCCCCCTTTTTTTTTTTTTAATTTTTTTTTAATTTTTTTTTTATTATTATTTACGGTTTTATTACAAGGTTTTTTTATGTTAAATTTCTCTGATCTTTTGGGCTCGTTGAGGAGTAGTTTCAGTGTTCTTCTCTATGTCTTTAGTTTGCTCGGGAGCCAGATGCAGGATCATGGTCTTTTGGGCTCTCGTACTTCTTGCTGTGACGCTTTTTTTGGATTCACAGATATAGCAGTCAGTTGTAGCTCTAGAAATTAATCTCATAAATAATGGAATTAACAAGGTAAAACCAATAATTTAAAGATAGTACACAACAAGAAAAAAACTTAATTTGTTTTTATCAGGAGTTTATTACTTTCTATTAGAGGTAGTTACCATACTTGTGTCATAGTATGTGTTTTGATAGCACTTTTGGCAGTGGTCGTTGGCAATGACCACTAGCAGGAATATAGCTAAGGCAAACAGAGGTCTGGTATAGCATATACCTCCGTTTTCCATGCCTATCGGATTGCCGCTGACAGCAGGAGAGAGATATCTTCTTGTGGCAAGTACAGAGGCTAATCCGGTCTTGCCCTCTGTAGTGCCACTGCTTTTTAGTATTGCTGTCTATTAATGCTTTCTGGCATTGCCCCTTGGCATTGCTCTTTGTTCTTGCGCTCTGGTTATTTAGGCCTTGATTGCCTCTTGCGCTTAGTTATTTATGCCCCCTCAGTTCTTTGGGCTTTTAAGAAACTTAGGTATTGTGGCGTTACTAAAAATAGGAAGGACCACTTTTTTCTGGTGGTTAAAACATGGTATTATTCTTATAACTATTTTTCCTTCGTTGGGGACCAGAGATTTCTCTCCGTTACCGCCCCCCGTTCATCGGGACCGGGGACATTTCCCCGTTACCGTCTCCTTGGGACAGGGACCAGGGATGTCTCCCCGTTACCGCCCCCCCCGCTTGCCGTCGGGACCGATGATGTTTTTCGCTTCCCTCTTGGCTGCAGACCGCTCTTGCAGACTTTTGCAACTGTTTGTTAGGGATCAGAGACATGCCTCTGCTTCCCTCTTGGTCACAGGCTGCCCTTGCAGACTTTTGTGACCGCCTACCATTACTTGCCACTTCTGTGACGCTAGCCACTGGTCAGTTAGGCTGTGGGAGCTCCCGCCCCCCAGGAGTTGTGTATCTTCATTTGGTGCTGTTCTGTTGTTTTAGTGTACCAGCTGGGCCCTTGGCCCGCACTTAAAGCATGTGCACGCACCGCTGGATTCTCGGCTGGCGTCGCTTTCTCCACGCACGCGCTATTGGACTTAAAAGTTAATAAAATCACAGAATTATAGAATTATAGAATTAATTAGCTTGGAAGAGATTTTTAAGATTATCAAGTTCAACTTTTGATCCAATTTCACCGTGAGTACCAGATCATGGTACTTAGTGGCACATCCAGTTTTACTTTGAACACTTCCAGGGATGGTGAATTTATCACCTCCCTGCGCAGGCCATTTAAATGCTTGATCACTCTGCCTGCAAAGATCCTCTTTTTTTTTTTTTAACACTTGATTCAAACTTCCCCTGGCAGAGCTCAAGCTCATGCCCTTTTGTCCCACTGCCGATTGCCTGGGAGAAGAGACCGACCTCCCCCCAGATCACAATCATTTTAGGCGAAATTCCACAGGACACTCTAGCTAACAGGGTAAACTCGACCCACTCTTAACCTTTTATGCATGGCGACATTATTCATTCATTTTCTTCCTTTACACAACAATCCTCCCCTTTCTCCCTCTTCTGGCTCTTCTAACAACTTATCTCTTATCTAAAGTTCCTTCACTCCCAAAGACTGATAATAACCAGTGCTCAGTCTTTTACAATACTATCTCAACAATTTATTACTCCTTGTCTTCTCCCCCATCTTCAAATCTCACAAGTTGCTTTTGCTCTCTGTCCTGGCACACAGACTCTCTGTTGTTTTAAGAATGCTTCCCTTTTCCACATCATTCCGTTCTGTACTTTTTCTCACATGCTCCATCAACAAAAACTATTTCATCATAGATCCCTTTAGAAACTTTTCTATTGTCCTTGCAAACTTCTACTTTTTAGCACTCATTACAAGAATGTTGAAACAACGTATGTTCCCATCCCCTCTCGCTCACAACGAGAGAGGTTTTGGTCCAATAAATAATTTGTTAGTAAATTAGTTCATACTTCTTACCACTCAAATAACACACTTCACTTACAAATTATGCTCATGAGGTCCATACACCTATACACACGCTACATACAACAAACACACTGCTTAAAAATGTTGATTGCTCCTGAAAAATCTTGGAAGCGTCTGAGAGCCTCGGGGCCATTCCAAGAGCTCCTCAGTTATTTACATTTCCTTATTTCTTTATCGCTTTTGCACAGAGGACTTCCCCGCCTTGCTGCTTTTTCGGCAAGGGATCCTTCTTCCCCCTTGCCACTTCGGCAGGACTACGCCCCCTCCTCTCCCATGTTGTTTTTAGTTCGGGGGACTTCGCCCCCCCCGCCAATGCTGGTCAGGAGAAATAAAACCTTGAAACTTTTGTGTTAGATGGTTGAGGTTTCTAGGGATCCCATCTCGCGACTGGGACTCTGTTTTATTTTTTATAAGTCCCTCAGAGGGCTAGGAACTCTTTGTTACTCTGCCTGCGCCGCTCAGCGATGCTCCCGGAGTCGCCACGCGCGCAGTCACGCCGGTTGTCCCGGCGCGGCCCCCGCCGCCGGTACTCGACCCTGACACCGCACGGACCGCTCCCCCTCCGCCTGGTGCTGACTGTTTCTCCGCAGCGCGCCGCCTGGCCCCCACTGGCCTGCGGAACTCGCCGCCGCCTCCCCCGCACGTCTCAGCCGCTCTGCGCTGGCTTTCGCCCGGCCCCGCCGCTTAGCACCGCCCGCCTGGATCGGCTCCGCCAGCCGCTGCTCAGCATCGCCCGGGCCGGTGCCCTGAGCACACACACACACACAAACACCACCGGTGCCCCGGGCGTGCACACACACACCCACACACACGCACACACACACACAC